TTTATATAGAAATACCCTGACAGGAGCAGGGCTGAATGTACAAAAAAACTACTCGCCCGGCGCCCGAAACTGCATGCTCTGGGCGTCGGGCGATAGGTATTCGCTTCATAAGACGCAGGCACATTTTCCCCCTCCATTTGGGGGGAAAAAAGTGTGTCTTATGGAGCGAAAAATACGGTATAGTTTACAAAAAAATTGCCGTGAGGCAATACAGTGTACAGGTTTGGCTTGAAGAAAAGGTGGCAACCCTAACCCCAGATAAGCCCGTAGAACTTAACCAAACAAAACCCTTAGGCTTACCCTGAAGCATGGCCTTTAGCACTTATCATGACCCTAACATGTAACCCTGTGTAAAATTTACATAAAAACAGAATGCAATGATCTGCAAATCTCATAAACTCATATTGTATTCACAATGGAAAATAGAAAACTGAGAAAATGGGCCATTTTAACCACTTGAAGGCCATAGTGTTTCACCCCCTTCCTGGACAGGTAATTTTGAAATTGACGGCAGCAACACTTCTCAAAAAAGTTGGGAGAGGACCATGCTTACCACAATACACTCTCCCCTCTTCTTGTAACAACACTCTCGGGTCTATTCACTAAGCTGCCGAGGGCAGCCGAGTGAACAACCGACCCCAAGTGAAGTGAGCCGAACACTGTTCGGCTATTCACTTCAGCCTTATATCGGCTGATTTCAGCCGTACATCGGCTTGCTTCACATGGCTTTGGGTCAGCCGAACATGCTCAGCATGTTCGGCCGACCCGAAGTGCAGAAGAAGTTTGACTCAGCCGATCCAACATCTGGATCGGCTGAGCCGAACCTCCGCCAGGCTACCCACTGCTGTTCGGCCTATTCTTATAGATGCCGAACAGCAGTGAGTGAATAGCTGAATGCCGCTGAGCGGCATTCGGCTCGGCTGTTTTGCTCGGTCCCTCAGAGAGACCGAGCAATCAAAAAGATTAACGATTAATCGAGAAATTAATCGTTAATTTGCACAGCCCTAGAAAAATCAGAATCAAAACAAAACGAATTTGTTGCTGGTGCACATGTCTAATATCTTTCAGCACTGATGGTTCCTTTCCAGATGTACAAGCTGCACATTCCATACGCACTAATGCACCTCCATACCATCAGAGATGCAGGCTTTTGAACTGAGTGCTGATTACAAGCCAGAAGGACGCGGCACCCATGGTTGCCAGAAAGAATGTCAAATTTTGATTCGTCTGACCACAGAACAGTTTTTCCACTTTGCAACAGACCATTTTAAATGAGCTTTGGCCCAGAGAAGACGGCGACCTTTCTGAATCATGTTCAAATACTTTAACTTTCATTTTTGGATGGCAGGGTGAGCTCTGTCCACAGACGGTGGTTTTTGGAAGTATTCCTGAGCCCCTGCAGTGATGTCCATCACAGAATCATACCTGTTTTTAATGCAGTACCGTCTGAGGGCCCCGAGATCACGGCCATCCAATATTGCGTTTCAGCCTTGTCCCTTGCGCACAGAGATTTCTCCAGATTCTCTGAATCTTTTGATAATATTATGGACTGTAGATGATGATATACTGTGTTTCCCCAAAAATAAGATACTGTCTTATATATTTTTTGGCTCAAAAAAACATACTAGGTCTTATTTTTGGGGGATGTTTTTTTTTAAAAAATGTATAACAATCCAAAGTTAGTGCAAATCCAAATTAAATAATCCAAAATGGCAAAGTTAAGAATAGGGTGATCAGGGCAATCAGGGGTGCCGTACTTTCCATTCATTGGCAATTTTCAGGGTATTTAAAGTCTTTACAATTTTACTTCGAGGAACGTTAATCTGAAATTGTGCGACAATTTTTAGACGGCCCATCTTTGAACCTCGACCCACACTCTGACTCTCTAAGATGCTCTTTTTATACCCAATCATGTGACTGACCAATTAACCTAATTAGCTGCAAAATGTTCTCCCAGCACTTCCTTGTTAAGCTGACCATACACCTTACAACCATCGCACGACTTTCGTTGTGCGATGGATGTAAGGTTATTAAAATGTCGTAGACAGGCATGTCGTGGACAGGCAGATCGTACCGCTAAGGGGAGGGCTTGCCGATGATTGCAGTGCTGAGCGGGCAGTGTGCGCTTGTGCACACCGGCCCCTGCGGCTTTCGTCTTCAAAGCACGCTACCAACCCGCCAAAAATCGTACGATTTCAGCGTGCTCGGAAGATGAAAGTCATGCGACCGTACAGTAGATGCGGTCGCACGCTGCCCATACACCTGCCGATTATCGTACGATAATCGGCAGGTGTATGGGCACCTTTAGTAACACTTACTTTGCCAGCTTTGTGTTGCGGTGTCCCAATTTTTTGCAGACGTGTTGCTGCCATCAATTTCAAAGTGACCTTATTTTTTTCTTAAAATGGTTCATTTTCTTAATTTAAACATTTGATATGTTTTCTATTTTCTAGTGTGAATACAATTCAGGTTTATGAGATTTGCAGATCATTGCATTCTGTTTTTATGTACATTTTACACAGTGACCCAACTTTTTTGTAATTGGGGTTGTATACAGTATACAGTATATATTTGTATACATTGGGGAAGTAAGGAAACCATTTTCAGGTTTTTATTACAGGGAAGATTCACTCTCTATGACCATTGTTTTCACTTCATCTCATCAGATGTACAGGAAATTCCTCTTTTGTTGAATTCCTCTGCAGATGATTTGGTGTTCAGAGAACACCGACCCAAATAACCCGAATATTATCCTAAAGTCATTCTTGTTGCATATTTCACAGTTTTTAAATAGGCTCCTCAATTTGTGTCAATACATTTTCTTAAAAATGATAATAATATTATATATGTGACATCTCTCACAAGACATATTTCAATATTCTAATGTTTCTGCTCTGCGTAAAGATGTTTGGTGCCTGAAATTGTATTCTGCTGTAATTGTTTTAACAGGTTTAATTAGTTAAATCGAATTTTCTTTTGTTAGCTTAAAGCGTACCTAAACCCAAAAACAAAAATGTAATATATAGCAGAGTACCGATCCCTAGATGTGGCGGCTGCATTCGTTTTCTTTTTCTTAGCCTTTTTTCCTTTATTTTCTCCTGGTGTACGGCCAGTAACACATTTCCTGTCTCAGGGTGGCTCCACTCTGTAGAGAAGCTACAGAGCCACCCTTGGACACTGCCCAGATCACTGGTTGCCAGGAGGTGAGCAGACTGCAGGCTAGAGCGTCCCAAGTTGCTAAGAGCTGGGCAAGGAAATGTGTATGGCCATCATACATCTCCCCACCCGGCTCTTAGCAACCTGGGATACTATGACTGGAAAGGGGGCCATCTGCTTGCCGCCCCCCCACACGACCCAAAGAGATGATGCCTGATGCAACACCCTCATTATAAGGACAGACCTGTCCAGGGGTATTCTGGACCATCCTTACACTGTCCCTGCTCTTCAGGAAGCTTTCCCTGCACTGGACCTATCTCTCCCTAGCCAGTGTGTGCACTGTCCCTATCTCAATACTCCCCACACTGCAGGGCTCACTACATACTACCCCCCGCATCCTGCACAGTCAGCCTATTCTGGGTTGAATGACACCCTGCATCATTCCGTTAAAATGGACATGCCCCCTGGGTGTGTGTCATGGTGCCACCTCTGGGTTCACAGGATAATTTGGCAAAGAACGACATTCATTTCACTTATCCATTCTGCAGCATTCAGATGCTTAAAAAACAACTGAGAAGGGTGCTTCAGCAGAGGACATGACCAACCTGGAGTTGGTAGATAGGACCTGTCACAAAAATGAATATAGATTTCTTTTATAATTGTGAGCACTCATGAACAGGGCACTCCTACCCTTCTTGTCTTTTGTCTTTGTATTGTAACTCAGAACACTGACGACTCAGGCTTACATACATACAGCTCATTTATGAATGAAAGCCAGGACACAATTGCACAGTGACGTCTGGCAGAGATATGCAAATACGGTTTATTATTATTATTATTCTTATACAGGATTTATATAGCGCCAACAATTTGCTCAGCGCTTTACAAAAGATGATAATACCATGTTTCCCCGAAAGTAAGACCTACCCCGAAAGTAAGACCTAGCGCTATCTTCAGGGATTTCTGTAATATTAGACCTACCCCGAAAATAAGACCTAGTTCGGTGGTAGGTCTTATCCCTAAAGATAGCGCTAGGTCTTACTTTCGGGGTAGAAGACCGCCCGCAGCTCTGTCCCTCCCTTCCTTCCCCCCCGCACGCCCGCACGCACACCCATCTGTCTGCCTCGGCTGCCGCTGAAGACTACATTTCCCAGCAGGCAAAGCACGGCATAGCCAGTGGGGTCGAAGTGGACGGCATCAGAGCGGAGAGCGGACAGCTGCAGCCAGGTAAATATAAGACATCCCCCGAAAATAAGACCTAGTGTCTTTTTTCGTTGAAAAAAAATATGAGTGTCTTATTTTCTGGGAAACACATTAATAATAATAATAATAATAGTAATATTGATAAAAATAAATAATACTAATAATAATTTCTGAGTGGCTTTAGTGTTCTTTCATCACTTTGGCTTTTTTCACTCACACACACAGCTCATTTATGAATGAAAACCAGGAAATAATTGCACAGTGACGTCTGACAGAGATATGCAAATACGGTTTATGAGTTAGCAGCCCTACATTCCAGTTCAGGAAACCTGCCCTCTGCCGATATGATTTATCAAGGTTAGATTTTCCTTTGACTTTACAAGAAAGAGCGTGCTGGGGACACGGAGATATCATAGAGGAAACCACACTACAGTGAAACCTCAGACTGTCAGAGAGCAGTGGAAAGCCCACAGAGCTGGCTATATAATGCCGGGGTCCCTACCTGATATACATCTCAGAGCATCTACCTGCTGTACAACCTACAGCACCTATCTCCTATACAGCTCAGAACATCTACCTGCTGTACAACTCCGAACATCTACCTGCTGCAGAGACACTCACATAGAGGATAAGGAAGAAATATGGACCACACAAGAGCCACCATGGTGAGGACCACTTTAATGACCCTTATTTATTTTTATCCTTCTTAATTAGATATTACTTTCAAACCATCAAAATGTAAGAGGTTCCCTGTTGTTTCATTCCCTTTTATCATATCATTTTAAATTGTAAGTCAGGGCAGCAAAATCATTCTTCAAATATTTTTTAGGATGTCATCTTATAACTACTTGGTTAAGTACAAAGTGTCCAGTTGGAAAAGTTCTTATTTTACTTTCTCCAGTCTGCAGAAATGTAGGCAAGCAAAAGAGTGCAACATAGTGATCATTCCATTCTTCACAAAATCCTAAATATAAACCTCTAGTACTAGGAGATGCACAACAAGAAATATGTCATCCAATCTCAATATTGCATATCATTTATTACTCAAACAAAAGAAAAAAGGACCACTTTAGTGACTCTTATTTACTTTTATAAAAGATAGCGCTAGGTCTTACTTTCGGGGTAGAAGACCGCCCGCAGCTCTGTCCCTCCCTTCCTTCCCCCCCGCACGCCCGCACGCACACCCATCTGTCTGCCTCGGCTGCCGCTGAAGACTACATTTCCCAGCAGGAATAAACCTCTAGTACTAGGAGATGCACAACAAGAAATATGTCATCCAATCTCAATATTGCATATCATTTATTACTCAAACAAAAGAAAAAAGGACCACTTTAGTGACTCTTATTTACTTTTATCCTTCTTGATTAGATGTTATTTTCAGCCCATCAATACTAAGAGGTTCCCTGTTGCTTCATTCCTTATTATCATTTCATTTTAAATTGTAAGTCAGGGCAGCAAAATCATTTTGCAAATATTTTTTAGGATGTCTCTTCTCTCATCTCGTAACTTCTTCTCGGTTACGAAGTTTTCAGTTAGAAAATATCTTATTTTACTTTCTGCCATGTGGGGAAATGTAGACATGTGGAACGTTGCAACTTTGTGATCATTCCATTATTATATATTTTTTTTAATTTTTCCCTCCATGACAATCAGTCAATTTTCTTTCCTTTGATTTTTGGTAACACATTTGCTTTATTTAAAAAAAAAAAGAAAACAGAGACACATTCAGATTACATTGAGAAAAGGTAATAAAACATTGATGCACACTTGTCTAGCTCAGTGAACTTGTCTGTACTCTATAGTGAACAGCTTCTACTCTATAGCAAATCTACCTCGTTGTGTCATCCATTACACATCATTGACTGGTCCTCATTTTCTCCCCCCAGATCCAGCTCACTATACTGGTTTTTCTCCTAGGAGACTCCCTGTTGGTCCCTATCGCGGCTCTGGATCTGCATCACCTGAAGAAAGGAGGATGTCCGCCCATTACAAAGTTCCCCTCATCGGTGAAAGTCAATCTGAACATTATTGGACAGGAAGCTCCGGCTATGAGTGGCGATGTGAGGAAACGCTCCATCTCTCCATGGGAGTACAGGTAACACTTTACCTCTTCAATCTCTCAGTAAATGTAACTTGAAATGAGCTTTGGCCCTGAGAAGATGGTGGCATTTCTGGATCATGTTCACATATGGCTTCTTTTTGCATGATAGAGCTACAACACTACCATTTTCAGTACCATTTTCAGCACCTGCTTGCTGTGGCAGTGGTTTGGGTGGGGATAAGAGTTTACACAGAGGGACCTGAGGTGTGAGACAGTGAAAATTACTGGAAAGCTAGGGATGGAACCATTAGCTGGAAAATTAATAAAAAAGTTAATTCTCTGCACAGTCAGGGCCCGCGCTGCAACTAGGTAAACTAGGCAGGCCGGCTGGCCTGCGGCTTCCTCGCACTCTGCCGGCTTCCCGATAACGCTAGGTTATCCCAAGACAAGTGAGTGGCATTCATAAAGATGGCCAAGCAAGGAGGACACTTTGATAACCCGAGCTTTTTCCTACAGTGTTTAGAGCCCCTCCCTCGTGACCTCAGCCAGGGACTGGCCTCTGTTGAAGCTGGCTAAAGAGCCATAAGGGGGGCATGACCAGTGGGAGTGTTTGGACTCTAGCAGCCACTTCCAGTGCTGTACCCATCACGGGCCGCCTGGGTGTCACAGTGAGAAGCGTGTGATGGGGCTGAGTACAGCTACATGAGAACGCTGAGCGCACTGTCTGTGCTATGAAGGCCTGCTCACCCCTGCCTGGCCTGCATGTAAGAGTTTTGAATATTTCCTGTATTGGCTGTATGGTTCTTTGTGCTATGGGAGGACTGTGGACACCATGGAAGGGACATGAACCCTATGTGCTGGGGATGCAATGGAGGGGACATGGACCCTGTGTGCTAGGAAAGGACTGGATACACCATTAAGGGGACATGGACCCTGTGTGCTATGGAAGGGCTAAGGACATCATGGAGGAGGCATGGACCCTGTGTGCTATGGAAGGGCTGGGGACATCATGGAGGAGGCATGGACCTTGTGTGCTATGGAAGGACTGGGGACAGCATGGAGGGAGCATGGACCTTGTGTGCTATGGAAGGGCTGGGGACACCATTGGTGGGGCATGGACCCTGTGTGCTAGGGAAGGACTGAGGAAACCATAAAAGGGGACACCATGAAGGGAACATGGACCCTGTGTGCTAGCCAACGTGTTGGGGAAGAGTGGGGCTAGCTGGTCCATGGGGGCGGAGGGCGATCGGTGGGATCAGGGGGATGGAGCTAGCTGGTCTGCAGAGGGGAAATGGGTAGCCAGTCCACTGGGCCAGGATGGAGCTAGCCTGTGCCTGCTATGGAATTAGAAAAAATGTAAGCTTTTTTTTGGTGGGGGTCAAGTAGCTGGTCTTGCCTAGGACTCAAAATAGTCTAACACCAGCCCACAGTACTTCTCCCTCATAGGAGAGGGAGAAGTACTCCCTCCCTTTCTGTGCTGACAGATATCCAGCTGTCTTCGATTTAGACATATTTTATTGTTAAGGGCAGTTGTTGAGGGACCTCATCAAAACTTTGCTGTGAAGCAAGTGCAAAAGTCTGGAACTCCTGATTTGTTGCAAGTCAGTGTCTCCAACAATAGGCTGTTCATTGTTTGCAGGGGACTTTTTCCTGATCATATCGGATGTGATGAAATTTTATTTAGTAAAAATACTCAGTCATATGCATGGAATTTTTTTTTCATTTTTGCTTGCATATGATTGGGTTATAGAAGTCAACAGAGCTGCACCTCATTCACTAAACTAAGAGGAAAGTCCCCTCATTCAGTAAATCAGCCCCTATGGATTGAAGTTGGAGGATCAGCAAAACAATTGTTCAGAATGACAGGTCAGCTTTGATGACCGCATTGTTCTTCTCAGCTCAGTAAAATTAATTCAGATTGGGAATTTAGCCCAGTTGCTCTGTATGCAAATACTATTAGAAGTTCACTCACTGACTAATTTTTGTTGTTGCCTGAAGTCACTCCGTAATGAATGACAATGTATGTTTTTTTTGTCCACAGCTATGATGTAAACAACAATCGATTCCCCTCTACCATTGCCGAGGCTCGGTGTCTCCATACCGGGTGTTTGGATACAGAGGGGAACGTGGACATCAGCCTGAACTCAGTCCCCATCAAACAGGAGATCCTGGTTGTCTACAAGGAGATGAAAGGCTGTGTCCCCACCTTCAAGTTGGAGAAGAAAATGGTCACTGTTGGCTGTACCTGTGCCCGGCCCAAGGTCTATGAGCAATAACACAGAACAGGAGTGATGTTACTGGACTCTGTTAGGGTGCCGACCATACATAGTTCTCCAATGGAGGAGTGAAGTGCCAACCCTCCAACATGACCCACTCCCAACAGTATAAAATGTTCCACTCCTAAAATAACCTTAATGAACTATTGCAAAGATTTTACTCATATCTGAAGCCAAAATTTTTTTTAAAGTTTTGGATAGAGTAGGGAATAGTTCAACCAACGTCAAGTTTTGTTTCCTCTCTGTGCCCCACTGAGGAAATTTTCCTTTACTTGTCTCAAAGAAACAACAGGAAATAAGAGCAAATCTCTCCACCCCAATGGAAATCCTCTGTTAGACAGTTATCACTGGACCAATTCCACTTCTATTCCTGTGACAACTCAGAATATTGGATTAGCCCAGGGGTAGCCAAACTTCGTCCCAGGAGCGGAGTATTCTTTACCGTAGGGAGTGGATCATGTTGGAGGGATGGGTGGGGAAGGACGATGCTGTATCTGGTTCAGTGAAAACCGTTCAGTGTATTTTGGAAGACTTAAAATATTGGATTATTCCATCACTTCCTGTTCTTGTATTTATGAATCCCTACGTTAATTCTCTGTGCCCCTGTACCCCTTGGCATCTTTAGTTTGCTGAGAATGATGACGTTCTTATATTACCAACATTCAACTTCCATATTACACTAAGCTTCAAGAAAAACAGCTGGAGTCTTACTGCCCCATCCTATTCTTATGCAGAATATCTTCTACTGCACAATGCCAGGTGCACATGAAATAAACTATGTCACGCCGCCATATTGTAGGCTTGGCCAGTACGTTGAAGCATACTGCCCATTATCCCACTAGATGTCTCCTGTCCACTGTGACCGGGAATGTTGCTGCTGAGCTGAAAGGCCGAGCATTGGATATACCAACAAGATGGCCACCAGTGACGGGTTCTACAGAACTGGGAATTTGTCTGCAGTACATATTGCCAGATATACCGTGCATATTATGGATCGGTATCACTGATTAGGTGCGGTTACTTGTGTAGCAATGTATGTTGCAAATCCTATAATACCTGTATTTTTTAACTATGTATTTATATATTTATATCTTTTTTATGAGATGTCTACACTTAATTTATTATAATATAAAAAAAAAATAAAAGAAGTAAAACAAAGCTGAATGTTGTAAAGTTGTTTTTTTCAGTAAGGGTCCATTCACACCAAATCCAGATCATCTCTAGACCAGACCAGACCAGACTGTTTCTGGACCCTATGTTTCTGGAAATGCATCCTAATTTATCCCTATGCTATTTCTGGTCTCTGTTCACACCAGCGCAGTCCATCCCAAACCAGAAAAATACTGCATGTCTTATTTTGACTGGTCTGAAATGTGTTTATTTTATTATAGTGAATTATGCGGGCATTTTATATTACGATGTGTGTGTTTTAGGGATTGTCATCTGTCTCCCTGTGTTGGATGTAACCGAGGAACGCTCTAGCAGAGGGTACTTGGGTTGAATCGGGACCAGCGGTAAAACCGTCAGTATGAAACACCTTCTCGTGGGCTTGGTGACGTGTTCGCGGTGTGTGTGGACGTTTGCCGGTTTGTGAGCACTAAGTGCACTGCGCTGGGCTCCTTGCCTTCAAACGTATGTACACATTAGCGAAGCGAAGTCCGTATAACGAGATACGTATTATACCTCTATTGCGTACTCGTTATCCGTTTTGGATACATATCTGCTTTTATAAAAAGACAGTGATATCTGCCTTGTCGGTGTACTGGTACCGTATATAGATAACCGCATTAGCAATGTTTCCTCAGATAGTCTCAAACCTGTAAGAACAAGTAGAATGATCTTACTAGATACTGGTCACTCTGAGCAGTATTGAATGGGGTCCATGCTGACAATGATGGGGGATGGGCATCCACATGGCCGGTCGGGACAATGAAAATGACTCATCCTTCCTTGTTTTACAGGGATGAGGTGTGTGCATTTCACTGTTCGGCCATGTTGGAGTATTCCACTTTTCCTTTTGATATGTACCTGTACTTTTTGGGCTGACTGGCTGATGTTCTAAAGCCGCCTCCCACTGGGCGTCGTCTTTTTGCCTTAATAAATTAAGGAGTTGGGGGTCTGTTCAGCCCTTTTTACACTGACTCCAGCTTGAACCAGCATCGTGTCTGACTCTCTCTGGCGCTAAAGAAGTACCTCATCCCTTATACAGAAATAACTGAATGCAGCATGCTTTTAAGCGTGACGGGTTTGTGATGGGCGCATTTTAATACCGAACGTGTACCTTTTAGTGCACCGGAGATTCCTGCGCAAAGTCCAACCAAAATATCCATGACAAATGCACTGGAACTGCGGCAGGTTCACACTATTTTCCGGACCAGATCTGGTCTGGAGAATAGTGTGAACCTACCCTAAATGCTATTACCAACGCTGTACTGCTTTTCTTTTGATATAGATTAAAGGATCGGTCCACACAAAAGTGATATTTTAGTCATAGTAATAAGTCTTGTATACGCAAACATTGAGATCTCCCGGCCATAATTCCGGGCTCTCTTCCTGACCACATGGCAGTTGTGGGTGCTCCCCTACCACCTTTATGTGTTCCAGATCCTCCTCTTACATTCCCCATAATATAAAATAAACAAACAAATAAAATATATAAATCCAGCAGAGGAAGGTGAACCCCCTATAACTGCCACAGCAGGTGTGCAGATCCAGGATCCCACTGAAGAGGTTTTACCGATAGAGTTCCTGAGTCGGGGTGAGCTCAGGTTTGGGCTGAACACGGTCCAAACCTGAGCAAGGGACATGGGGCCACCCACCCAAACAGTGGCAGGCTAGGGCATTTCCTGCTTTGCAGCTTCCCATAAACAAAGGGACAGGATGCGTGTGCTGACATTATTGACTTTATACAGTCACATTAGGTTAATGTTATTGACCAAATATAGCCATGTGACCATATAAGGTCAATGACATCACTGCATCCCGTCCCTTTGCTTAGGTGCAGCTACCGGAGGAGAGTTCCCCGACTAGGTATGCACCTATACCTGCCTGCAGCAGACATTGTCTCAGCCTAGGAAAATGCAACTGAATGGAGCTTTTTAACAATACGATGTACCCCTTTAAAAAAAATGTATACTGATGCTCAGTGACGTGCGGTACCTCTGGTTCCAGGTGAGGCATTCCCCAGCCACGCCCCCAGCATGTCCCGTCCCCCCGCCGGCTGAAGCCACGCCCGCGGCTAAAGCCCCACCAGCCCAAACCCCGCCCCAACCTGGTCCCCAAGCTAGTGTGAAGGAGGAAGGGAGGAGACTCTTTGTTCCTCACTTGCTTGTCACTGCTGAGGCATCGAGATCGATCGCCTCAGTGGTTTTTTTTTTGATTGGACAGCTTGAACCAATGGCGTATAATGTGTACAATATAAATCCTGAATAATAATAATAAACATCATTGTCTGCTGATTGGCTAAACAAATGCCCTAAATGTTCTCTCAATCGCCCTGACCTCAACCATCTACTCTGGGAATGCCCCTCTATTCAAACGCTATGGTCTCAACTGTTGACCTACATGAATTCCATCTCTCACAGAAGCAGGGATCCACAACCCTCTTTATGTCTTTTGCAAGTTACGGACCCCACCGTGGTTCCAAATCCCCCTCCATTATCCCCATGGGAACACTTCTGTCTCCTGGCAACTAAGAAGGCTATCCTAAAAAACTGGCTTCAGAAAAATACCCCATCCATATCAGACATACGTGACATTCTCTTTCGACTTATGCTTACTGAGAAGTTAGACACCAAATTTAACCAAATACGCACAGGGACATTTTTTGCCACCTGGTCTGCATACATGATCTCTGAGTTATCCCGAGATCAACTCAAGGATGTCATGTCTGCTTTCCAATACACTCACTGGTATCTCATGGCCAAATTAGATGGCTCTCTAGGGCCTCTAGATGTTTTATGAAATATATCATTATTACGCAGGTAAAGCTATACTTCTTCAACACATCTTTAATCGTGACTGATCGCTTTCGAGGTATGAGTCCACAAACTATGTATACGTCTATCCCTTGACATTCCATATTACGTCATCAGTACATCTATATGTCCCTCTCGCATCTCATCGTATCCGGCCTTCCATATCCCTATTGGATTATACTTATGACCACATACCCTCTTTCCTTCTTTCCCATGTATGCTCTATTGCTTCCCCTGCTTCCCACCTTTTCTCACTACTCCACACTTTTCTCTCTTCTTATGTCAAATATCAGTTATAATTTTTTGCCATGAGTTATTGCTGCATTACATGATGTGTTTTCTCCATGCATATATGCCGGATATACTGTTATCCCCGGTTCTGTACCGTCAGTGGTCTTTGTATTAGTTATTACTGGCATACTATCCATGCATTATGGCATGTATGTGGCTGCTATTTACCGTATATAAATTGCACCATTTTTGGATGTGAGAAAATTTAATAAAGATTTATATGCTTAAAAAAAATAAAATAATAAACATAAAAATTATTATTATTGATGATTATTATTATTTTTAGTATTCTTTCTCCAAATTGACTTTTTTAATCTTTAAAACAAACACCAACATGTCGACGTGACAACACACAATCCCAGCTGATGAACTATTTATGAAAGCAAACCAGGACACAGTTGCACAGTGATGTCTGGCAGAGATACGCAAATACGGCTTATGAGTTACTAGCACTTCATTCCAGTTCAGGAAGCCTGGCCGCTGCCTCTATGGTTTATGGTAAGATTTTTCTTCAAATACAAGAAGCAAGAGCGTGCTGGGGACCCAAATGTCAGAGAGGAAACCACACTACAATGAAACCTCAGACTATCAGAGAGCAGTGGAAAGCCCACAGACCTTGCTATATAATGTCGGGGTCCCTACCTGTGGTCCATCTCAGAGCGTCTACCTGCTGTACAACTCCGAGCTTCTACCTGCTGTAGAGACACTCACGTAGAGGATAAGGAAGAACTATGGACCACACAAGAGCCACCATGGTGAGGACCACTTTAATGACCCTTATTTATTTGTATCCTTCTTGATTAGATGTAACTTTCAAACTATCAAAATGTAAGAGATTCCCTGTTGTTTCATTCCTTTTTATCATATCATTTCAAATTGTAAGTCAGGGTAGCAAAATCATTCTGCAAATATTTTTAGGATGTCATCTAAAATTAAGAGGAAGACCCTTGTTTGTAACCTTTTTATCAATTTTATTTCTGCAAGTCAGGGCAGCAAAATTGTTCTACATACATTTTCTTGATAGAGGTTCTTGAGTTGACATTATTCTCCAACCATGCAAACTTTAGAGCCAGCCTTTTGTAGACTTTTTTTAAAATTGACTGGGCAGTGAAATGATTGGTTTTGCTTCATTTCGTGTTCCATTAGATATCTCATTCTTAATGATAAACCTGTTGAAGTCTGCAAGGGGTGTCCATTTATAAATGCTTAAAATGTCCATTTATAAACATGGAGTAATATACACACTGGGATTGGGGCATCTTTGATACCACTCCGTTATCGATTGTTAGAAATCCCAGATCCAAAAATTAAAATGTGAAAATGCACAACGTAGATACTTTCCATGAATGTTTCCGGTTGTACACATTTTTTTTGTCTTAGTCTCTGCCTGCAAATAATTTTTGGAATTTTTATTGTGTATCTTTCTCTATGACATAGGGGTCTATTCACAAAGCTGCTGAGGGCAGCCGAGTGAATGACCGATCAGAAGTGAAGTGAGCCGAACACTGTTCGGCTATTCACTTCAGGCTGGTATGGCTGATTTCAGCCGTACATCGGCTTGCTTCGCGTGGCTTCGGATCAGCCGAACATGCTCTGCATGTTCGGCTGACCCGAAGTGCAGAAGGAGTTCGACTCAGCCGATCCAACATCTGGATCGGCTGAGCCGAACCTCTGGCAGGCTTCACACTGCTGTTCGGGCTATTCTGAAAGATCCCGAACAGCAGTGAGAGAATAGCCGAATGCCGCCGAGCGGCATTTGGCTCGGCTGTTCTGCTCGGTCCCTCAGAGGCACCGAGCAGAAGGATGTAGGTTGGGCAACTCAACTAATTAATGGGTTGGAGGACGTAAGCTATGAGACAAGGTTACTAAATTTAAACTTGTTCACGCTGGAATCAATGGGCGTAGGGGCGTCTGCTCAGTCAGAGCGGTTAGAGTCTGGAACTCGCTGCCACAAGAAGTGGTATCAGATGAGAGTGTTGAATCATTCAAGAAGCATTTAGATATCTTCCTCAGAGACCATAGCATACAGGTGTACAGGTACATTTAAAAGCAAGGTCACAGGGGCTCGTGTACACACATACACATACACAATTACACACAATAGGTTGAACTTGATGGACCTTTGTCTTTATTCAATATCTAAGACTATGTAAGGTTCATCCAATTAGAATGTATAATATTTTGCTTGCATATGTGGAATGCCGTATATTTGTAAGCATTTCCCTATCAAATGCAAAAAAAATCCTATGGACAAAAAGTAGCATTGTAAAGTTAAATATTGTGCACATTGGATACTTTAGAAGAATTTACAGGTTATACAAACTGTTGCTCAATTTCTTGCCATAAATTAACATTTTTGTAAATAGGTTTTCATTACATATTTTTTTTTTTCCTTAAGGCTTTTAGGCCTTGTTCACACCAGACACAGTGCGTTCCGGCCCGATTCTGGCATGCATGCCCTCTGGCTGCAATTGGACTGGCCGCATAAGAGTGCAAGGCACATCAATGCCTGCGGTCCGGTCCAAACAAAATGCTGCAAGCACTATTTTGTGTGCCTTGCGTTACGGTGTGTGGCTGATCGCATTGCCCACAACATAGTGAGCCGGCCGCAATGCAGTGTAGAATTGGGCCCAGAACGCACTGTGTCTGGTGTGAACGAGGCCTTATACCGTGTTTCCCTGAAAATAAGACCTAGCACTATTTTTCAAGATTCCTGCAATATAAGACCTACCTCGAAAATAAGACCTAGTTTGATGGTAGCATGTGAGGGGGGACTTGAAGAGCAGGAGAGATGGTATCAGCCTGCAGGGACATACTGTATTAAGGGGATGACAGGGGACTCCCTCCGGCCAGCACAGTGATCATAGATCATAGACTCCATAATAGCATGCAATGTCAAGCTGCAGTTTCTAAAGCAAGCAAAATACTTCCTTGTATTATATGGGGTCTCTAGACTCCAGAGATAGAGACATAATCCTGCCCCTGTACAAAGCATTAGTAAGACCTCATCTGGAATATGCAGTTCAGTTTTGGGCACCAGTTTATAAAAAGGATGTTGTGGAACTGGAGAAAGTGCAGCGAAGGGCGACTAAACTCATAAGAGTCATGGAGGAGCTCATCTATGAGGAAAGATTAGCTGACCTGAATTTGTTCTCTCTGGAGAAGAGGCGATTAAGGGGGGACATGATCACCGTGTATAAATACATAAATGGTCCATATAAAGAACTTGGTGCCAAATTATTCACTTTAAGGTGAATAAGGACAAGGGGGCACTCTTTGCATCTGGAGGAAAAGAGGTTTAACCTTTGCATACGGAAAGGATTCTTCACAGTTAGAACTGTCAGAATGTGGAATAGACTCCCCCAGGAGCTAGTTCTAGCTAGCTCGGTTAATTGTTGAAAAAAAAATCTGGATGTATTCCTAAATGCACAGAATATTACTGGATATTGAGTTCTTATAGGTATATTAAGTATCAGAGATTGTTGATCCAGGGAATATCCGATTGCCCTATGGGGTCAGGAAGGAACTTTTTTTCCCCTGTTGAGCAAATTGAACCGTGCTTAATAGGGTTTTTTTTTGCCTTCCTCTGGATCAACAAGGGGTAATTGTGGGCATAGTGTTCTGTTTAGGCTTTTCTTCTTTTTTTTCTCTCTCTATATCTCTATAGGTTGAACTCAATGGACTTGTGTCTTTTTTCAACCTGACTAACTATGTAAGTGACAGGGAGCATTCCAGTACCATACTTCACCAACTGCTGTCCCCCTGAAGGCACTGCTTAATGTAATGGTACTGTACTGCAATGTGTACCGGAAAATGGTACCGTACTTTACCGCGCTGTCCACTGTCTGATGTCCCCACTGCTGCACCGCTGGTACCGCTGTCCCTGATGGCAAAAGAAGCCGGCGCTGTAGAAAGCAGGGCTGCGGTGGCGGAAGGAGCAGAGCCGCATTAGCCGATACTTCCTCTATAGCGCCGGTTACTGTGACAGGCGGAGTGATACCAGATGCTCTCCGCCTGTGAAAATGAAAAAAAGGGATCAGCATTAAAAAAAAAATACAGTAATACCTTGGTTTACAAGTAACTTGGTTTGAGAGCGTTTTGCAAGACAAGCAAACATTTCTGAAAAATGTTGCCTTGATATACAAGCAATGTCTTGCAATAAGAGCAAAATTTTGTAGAAAAGCACCACCGGAATAAGGCTGTAGCAGTGCGAGCAGTCCGCTTTTCACACAGTTACCCTCATCGGTGAGAGTTAGTCTGAACATTAGCAGCCAGGAAGCTCCTGCCGTGAGTAGAGACGTGGGGGAACATTACATTTCTCCATGGGAGTACAGGTAAGCCTTCCTTGTCATAAAAAAAAAAATCTAAAATATAATTCTCTGAACCCGCTTGTGTTTTTTGTTGATCTTGCCAGTAGTTTTATCATTTTTCAACTTTCTTGTAACAGGCCAAGCTGTCCAGCAAAATGTCCATAACAGGGTTGGAACAAATGATAATATATCCGTGAAAAAGAAATCAAGGCCACTGCTGTATTTGTCTTGAAGACGTTTCGCTGGTTGTCTGACCATGAATTGAGAAAGCTTGCTGCCCTTGATTTATTTTGAACAGATATATTGTGGCCTGCATAAATAAGGGCCTTCACAAACAACCTATAACATATTGCCAGGGATGCTTACAATGGGGGGCTTTTATTTATATGGCTTAAGCCTCTTTTAAGAAAAAAAGAAAACTGTTGTTGTAACTACTTAAAAAGTATTACTTGGTGTTGGGTTTTAATTGGTTCATCACATGGTTAAAGACCAAAAATGAATGGCCATCTGAAACTACCAAAAAGGTGACAACACTGCTGTGCAATTTCACTGCAGAACAAATAGCTTTGTCACCCTATTACAGGAAGTGGAAAAAAATAAAGGGGTCTACTGGTAGGATCAATAGGTATTATACTATATTACAGGACAGACTCGGAAAAACAAGTGACAGACTGCATTATATATGTAATTTTTTTAACTTAGCTCAGTTGCAGTGTAATCATAAGACTAGATCTTCACTGACTGGCTGTATGTGTTGGCTCACATTGCTCCATAATTACTTACACTGTTTGTTGTTTCTTGCTGGCAGCTTTGATCGAAACAACAGCCGATTCCCCTCTACAATTGCTCAGGCCAAGTGTCTACACAAAGGCTGTGTGGACACAAAGGGTAATGTTTACAACAATCTTGAATCGCGCCCCATCAAACAGGAGATCCTGGTCCTCTACCGGGAGAGGAGAGGCTGTGTCCCCACCTTCAAGTTGGAGAAGACAATAGTCACAGTTGGCTGTACCTGTGTCCGGAACATGGCCTAAAAGCAATGACAGGAACCAGAAAGATCTTACGGGACTCTGTAGTGTGCCCGCAATCCTTAATTCCCTGAACAAGGAGAGTTGGGGTTGGAGATGGGCGTTGTGTTTTGTTAAGGGTCTACTCTGCTCCTGTGCGCCTTTATACTTTTTGTATTTGGAAACTTTTTAAAATTCTTGTTTTGGCAAATACCGATAAGCGAGATTCATAGAATTGCTTGCGGTAGTTAGTCACATTCAGCTGAACTTATTCTGAAATGTTGAAGATGTTTCATAACTTCTCCAAGCAACTTATTCAGTTCTATTGAGTGTTAGGAAGATCCACCAACATTTATATCTTCACAGTTAGCACGTTAATCTGATCACCATGGAATGTGTAGATATTTATTGTCCAAGAACAGGATGGGAGGTGTGAAATTTGCTAAACCACCATGCTCTAGTTGCTTTTTTCAAGGGTTTTAATTGATTAGGAAGCTGGCCAATCAGAAACCTGAGAGTTGAGTCATTACCCACCCCTCAGCTTCCTGATTCGCCTGAAAGCTGGCTTCATGCTTCCTTGTCACCTGTGACAAGGGAGCATTGAGCCGGCTTCCCAGTAAATCAGGAAGAAGGGGGGCAAGTCATTACACACTGCCTGGCTACCCGGCTGATCAGTAAGCTGGGTGGCGAGTCATTACACGCCGCCCGGCTTCGTTAGTGGGACTATCGGCAAGTACCGGGAAAAAAACAGTACTCTTATTCGATACAGAAAAACCGGTATCGGTGCATCCCAACTTTTTTCCATCACTGGTGTCAGAAAGCCTGCATTTTTGTTAATTCCTCTATTTACTTGGCTAAAAGTGATAATTATTGTCAAATTGCCGGGATAGAGACGTTAAAATAGCATTTTATGTAGATGAAGTTTAAGGCACCCACCTCTGTTCAAGGAGGGTTGTTGCAGTTTGACGTAGATGGTTTCTTTCAGGCCTCTTGTGAACCAATTTTCCTCTCTGTCCAAAATGTTGATTGTTCTTGGACAATCAACATCTACACATTTCATGGTGATTGATTTAAGGCAGGGGTGCCCACAATTTTTGTGTTAAGATCTACTTTTCAAATGACGAGCTACATGAGATCTACCAACGAAAAAAAAACCTCCCTCGCTCTCTCTCCTGGCTTTCTCTCCTCTCTCTCCTGGCTGTCTTTCCTCTCTCTCCTGGCTGTCTTTCCTCGCTCTCTCTCTCCTGGCTGTCTTTCCTCGCTCTCTCTCTCCTGGCTCTCTTTCCTCGCTCTCTCTCTCTCCTGTCTGTCTCTCTTCGCTCTCTTGGCTGTCTCTCATTGCTCTCTCCCCTGGCTGTCTCTCCTCACGCTCTCTCCCCTGGCTCACCTTGCTGTATTTTGCAACAGGCTGTGTAAACCAATATTCTTTGATGTAATACATAGCACTTCAACCACCAGTATCCACCAGAAAGGTGTCAGGGAGCTCGGCTCAGCAGACTCGGGCTAATAGGTAATCATGTGTGCACAGCCAAATAAATATACCAAAATGGAATAAAGGGGCCGCCATTCACACCCTTTCTGATCTACCAGCATCAGCTTTGAGAGCTACTGCTAGATCACCATCTACCTAATGGGCACCCCTGACTTAAGGCATCTGTGCTATCTGTGTGGATAACATATTGGACTAGGTTCCTGGCACTTATTAGAACTGAAGAAGTGGCTTGAACCTTCCACATTAGTTCTTCAACAAGTCCAGCTGAATGTGACTATCTACTACTAGCCAAAGTATGACCTGGATAACTGAGAACCTTCACAGACAAGCTTCATAGATCTAACCACGGCAGTACTAGAAGTTTAGTTTGTTAGGAAGTTCAGTGTGACATGCTAAACTCTCACCCTAGGTGAAACTGTTTCCAACAACCCAAGTGCTTCTCAGCTGCCAGGGTAACACCTATGTATGTAGGTATTATCCTGATGGGTACAGGAGGTGAGGCGTACACAGCACTCTCTGAACAAACAATTTTTAAAAAGGTCAATGCCTAACCTCCCAAACATCTTCCTTTGCAGGGTATCATTTACTACATAGTAGTGACAAGTGTACTTCAAAGAGTTTCTGTCACTCAGCAAAGTTTCAGGCTTCATTTGAATTCCAGAGAGTGCTGCCTATTAGTTCTATAGGTATCTGTTGCCACTGTGATGTGGCTTGTTTCTAATATATTGAGTATTAGGTCCAACAAAATGGCCACCACCAACAGGTTCTCTTAAACTGGACATTTGTTTGTAGTATATACTGCCCTGCATAAGTGTTAAGTGTGATTGCCTGCATAGCAATGTAAGCTACAAATCCTGTGTTGCTATTGTTTAACTGCTGTATGTATTTATATATTTATATGTTGCTATGGGATGTCCGCACTTTATTTATTTGTGATTATGTAACAAAATACAAAAGTTGAAAAAAGTTGAATGTGGTAAAGGAGTTTGTATAGTCAATGTCCTTACTGATTTTTTTATTGTTTTGACTCTGATGTGGAGAATTTAAGGTGAACAACGGTCAGAACTTGTTTTGGGGCAGGACATGGGTAGGCTCCATGCTGACTTGCTGGGGCGGCGGCTTCTCGGCCAATGAGCATGGAGCCGGCCAAACAGCATCGAGCCGGCTTCCCGAGCAATCAAGACAATCGGATTGCCACGGAAGCCGGCTCTATGCCAGCGGAAGTAACGGTATCGGTGCTTGGTATCGGCGAGTACCGAAATATATATATTAGAAAAACGGTATAAAAAAATGTAAAAATTGAGAAGCCAAGCTTGAATAGAGGTGGTGGGGGGTGAGACATCTATTGTCTGCCACATACAATGCTGTTTTAACACCTCTCTCTGGGCAGGTTAATAACACCTCCTAGACTCCGATTATGCAAATGCAATCAACACATGGTTGCGACTAACAGATGATGTGGATTGGAGCGACATTCACCATATTTATTCCCAGATAATTTTTTTGTACAAGTCAGTCTGAATTGAGAAAGCTGGTCGGATGACCAGTGGAACGTCTTCAAGAAAAATACAGCAAGTCCAGTTACCTTGACTTATTTTTTACAGATCTACCTAATGCAGCTTCATTTGATGGGTTGGCAATAATGCTGCACTGCTCCTGAATTCAGAACAGAGTTGTCACTCTCATGTAGGCTGTGTCTGCTTGTGCTACAGTGGGAGGAGAATATGTTGGAGAGGCCATGGCTATCAGCATTGTCACTGCTGATTCTCAAGCCTGTAGTTTGTCAATCAGCACATGGCCACATCTAGTTCTACCCACTGCTTTCTGGATTAACTAAACTGCTTCTGTTGCTGAAACCCTCCCACTGTGGAGCATGTGAGATACAAATGAAGGAAGGTAAACTAATGCAACCCCCACATCCTAGGACTGCTGCACCTCAGTATATTCAATTTTTGTTTTTGGGTTCCGTGTGCCTTAATTGCCTCTACCCACGTCTTGTATAGTTTACATGACATGGTAAGACATATGCTATCACACTACCTTAACGTTGCTACAGCAACTCCCACAAACTGCCTGCCCGTACCCAAATAAGAGACCACACAGGAAGACCTCACCCTTGGACGTGACCCCCCACCCGCAGAGCTCTGAGAATGCCATCCTCCAAACCCAGAAACCACATGTCAGTACCGACGGCATTGAGATGTATGCCATCGCTCCGCAGATACTGCCATGTATTACACTCGAGCTCACGGTGTCGCACCACAATCCCTCCATTCCTAGCTACGAACCGCGGCACCTCTCTATTGACTTTAATTCGGGCTTTGTTTAACCGGTCAACCGACCATGACAAACGCCACGAGGTGCGGGCCACAATCTCCGACCACACGATAATCAGGTCAGGAAAAGATGCGCGTAGCCTCAGATAATCATATTTGATGTCTCTGATGAGCTCACGCATGTAGCGAAGCCCGAGGTCGTAACCGCCCACGTGCAAGAGAAGGACGTCTGGCACCCTGTCTAGCCTGGCGTACCTATGAACCTCAGGGACAACGCGACTCCACAACATCCCCGGAAAACATACCCAACGAACCGTAGCAACGTTCCTGTCCAGGCCGAGCTGTCTGCCATTGGGACGAACGTCCGCCCGGCGGGCCCCCCAAACAACGTAGGAATGCCCCATTATCCAAACGAGACCGGGACCTGTAAATAAACAAAATAAAACCACGGCAGGCCAAAGCAACGAAAACACCCCGACTACAACTCATATAAAATTCCCATAACAACGCAGAAAAAACAAAAACTAAACTAAATGAGGACGAATATATAGCTGGTACCTGTTGCATTCCCATCGCCCAATACGCTTAACCATGGCTTCATTAAGACCCCCACCGGCAGCCTCTGTGGCGGCACCAATCCGGAAGGAATGGGAAGAGAAAAAAGTCGGATTGAAACCCGCCCTAGCCAAACACTTCCGAAATACGGCAATAAATTGGAACCTGGATAGGGGAGTGCCGTCGGCATAAACCAGAAAGGAACCCAGTCCATGGGGGCGAATTGCGGCAAAACTCTGTACTGCCAAGACCGGACAAAGAGAAGACCCCCGGACACTGTTCAGCACCACCACCTGCCCTTCCGCAATTGATCTGTCTTGGATTGGCGAATAAAAATTCTTACCGAATCTGATGAAGGGAAAACTTCGGACAGAAATAGACCCCAATGAATCCGTTTGGAGGGGCTAACCAGTTCACCAATTCGGAACGCCCCAAAAAAGGCCAAGAGAATAGCAACCCTGAATAGAGAAATCTCCAACGTAGAAGAACAACAGCCGGGAAGCAGTGTCAAAACCTTACCCAACATAGCAAAAGTGACCAGACGATGGCTGTCTGGCTGGCGACGGCCCTGGGTAAGCCCTTGAGCACCTGACGTACGACAAAGTCTTTCGTCAAATCCCGAACACCTAACAATTTAAATAAAAAGGCCAATCCTGACATCTTACGATTCACAGAGGCCACTAACGCGCCCCCCGACCAATCAT